TCCTCATTTGTAAAATGAATACCAAGCTGCTCTGTCTCATAAGAGTGTTGTAAAAATAAGTTAATTAATGTCTGGGAAGAACACAGACACCACAATGACCATAAAAAGCCCAGGATATTAATAACTCCATGTTCTAAGCACCATTTAAATAATGTGCAGTAAATACAGCCACACGCTGAAAAATGAGATTAAAAAATACTGAATTAGTTGCTCAGTAACTCATTGTCCACTGAGAATTGTGGAGTTCTACAGAAAAAAAATGTGTATCATACCATTAAAGACTTTATTATTACAACATATGTATACAAGGGTGACAAATTAATGTAATACTTCACTTTGCAACTTTCATAATATCCTGTTATTTTTTTGCACATACCATCATGGCTAATAGCAGGGAGGCTGGAATCTTTAGTTCACACTTGTACAGTTAACGTAACAGAATAACAAAACTTTTAGGCTTTCATCCTCTACCAACATTAACAGAGATGAGACCCTTGGCCAATAGGTTTCAAGCTGACAGCAAAGACTCAGACATCTAGGGCCAGGTATACACTGCAGCAGCAGCATCTCTCAGCAAAGATGGCCCTGAGCACACCTGTCCCTTGTTTCTGTGTGCATATTCTAAAAGCTCCCTCTGCCTGAAGAAAGGTGTTTGTACCCAAAAACTTGCAAGGAAGAATTTCGCCAACTATTTTAGTTGGTATAATAAAAGATATTAGATTTACCCAAAAATCCTTGTCTGCCTACATCCTTAGACCAATACAGCTACAACTAATACCCCTAAACCAGAAAATGCACTTCAACAGCATCCCCTATAGATGCTCTCAAACATGTCAAGAGCAGCCACAGAAAGACACCTACTGCAACCAGGTTTGACTCCTGCTATATCCTCTTTAACCCATCCTTTTCCCAGTTAAGTTTATCTGACCACCGGCTCTTCAATCTTGTTTCCAGTTTCCTCACCAGTATTTATTTCCACTCCTCAGGTTTCTGATTCCAGTCCAATTTTCTTTCCCAGTAAGTCTTAATCTTAAATTTCCTTGACCCCAAGTCTCTCCCAGACTCCCAGTTTCCTTGTCCAGCTACTCCCAGACCCCTTCAACTCAGACCCAAGTTCTATGCTAGGAGTATTCTTGCCCAACCAGCCAACCTTAATCTCCCTTGCTGCATCTCATCCAACCTCTCTCAACTTTCATTTTCTTCCCTTACTTCACAGTCTTGATCCACACTCATTCAGTCTTTGCTCCATGGCTCCCCACCCTACCTCCCTGCCAGCTCCGTGTTTCCACTCCTGGTCCTTTCTTGCAATGTGCTAAGTCTGGCTTTTATTCCCTTACATTTGATGCCTCCTTCCTCCATGCTAGGTGCCACCCAGAGGGGCAGAGATCACAGATGACAGGATCCCTGCTCCGTCTCAAGCACAGTATAGAGAAAGTGTGACTTCACCCAAGTAGCAGTACGCTGGTTCATATACAGGTGATCTGTGAAGATGATACATCACACACAGTCACATCATCTTCTGGACTGAGGGCTAGACTAATGCAAAATTATAGCATGTACATGGGAACTTACTACAGAGCAGGTGACTGTAAATCCCTACCGCCATGTACCTGAATGACTTTAAGAAATGTCTAAGTGGCCAAGCTTCTCTAATGCAATTGTGCTACATCTTGTGTTTCAGTAGTGGCCACTACCAAACCAAATTCTCTTGAAGTCTGTACTATAACGAATGCAAAATATTCATTATGGAAAGAGGGATGTCTTTAATATAATCAGAGTGAAAAACTGGGAAATGAAGGTCCATGAAGTTAATGGATCTATATGAAATTTGCTATTGATCTCACTGGGCATTGGGATCAAGCCTTGAGGGAGGAAAGACAATATTTGCAGAACCAGAGGAGAGTCTGGCCTATATTAATAGTCCCAGATACTTATAAAACCTCAACTACAGTGAGGGTGAAGCATTCCACTGCAACAAAGTCAGTCATGTTTATTTCAAAACAAGGAAGTCAGAACAAAGTTCCAAAAACTAAAGCTTTATAGTTATTTATCTCACAAAGGAGCTAAGAGGTTCCCATTGGGAGATTTTCCCATGTCATGCCACAAATACAGGACTCAATTTCACCATGATTCCTGAAGCTTTCCACAAAAAGCAATTATGAAAGGTTATTGAACTATTTCCCTCCAGCCCCTACACCTTAACTCTCATTATCCCCTATATACCTGCATGTATTAAACTTCAGAAGTGTCAGAAGGAAGAGAATTCAAATCCACAGAACAGTGACACTACATTAAACAGAAAACCACTTATTCTACAGCTAAACTAAATCTCTGAAAATAGCAATTCAATGAGCTGTCAAACCTAATCCAGACAGTATCCTGACTCTCTGCAAACCACCTATTTCTTTAAATGGGTATGGTCAAATATGATTAATCTTCCGGAAAGCTAACAAAGGAAGAAATTAACTTGCAACTCTTTAAAAAAAATAGATTTCCAACAAGAATACAGATGACTGCCGGTTTACGTTTCTTGAGACAGTTAAGAGGAACTGAATATATTTGGACAATACTTTTGTGAAAGATTGTTTCCAAAATTTGTCAGAAGTTTTGTTTTAAACTTGCCTATGACAGCTTTCACTGATTTTTCATAAAAGACTAAAATGATCAATAGAAGCTTTGAATTAAATGTTTTAATTAAATTAATATGTTGTATATATTCATTGTTGTCCATATAGTAAATCATCAATGAAACTCTCTTAAGAACCAGATGGTAATAGTATTTTTCAACCATTTCAGACTGAAGGTATCCTCATCCCAGTTCTTAGTTGTTACTGTTTTTGACAACAGAAAAATAATAGAACAATTCTTCTGTTGCAAAGAACTTATAAGACCACAGCCTATCAGAATGTTCTGACACTATAGATTCCTATTTGAAATCCCTGGGTTTACCTTGTAAACACATAGTATTTGCAGACTTAACACTGCTAATATCAAGTGGCACTCTGCATCACCCTCTGGCTCTCACAGCACCTTGGTTGAGAATCATTGTGCTACAGAGACTTAACTTCTGGGTCCGGTGACTATACAGAACTAAGTACTGTAGAAGCAGGAAAGGATGGGGAGGAAAAGAGATGTGTGTGACGGCCAGAACCAGAGGGATTAATAAGCAATAAATATGAGCTTCTTAAAGGCATTTGGTATTTTGCCTAAACAGGTAATATTAGTTAATATAAAGCTTGTAAGTTTGTATACCGCAAATGTAACTTGTCTATCATAAGTTTAACCAAAACAATAACATTAACTGTTTGTGGAACTGACTGGGCCCCGTAGGCAAATCTGTAGATGTGAGATTAGCTGACCTAACGGTTTCTGCTCAGGGTTCAGCTTTGATGATAAAAAAACTGGAACCAACTGCCTGGCACACGCAACACATTCCAGAAAAGCACATCCCAAGAAAGCACAGTCAAATGAAACTTAAAAGGGGTTGAGGCTTAGGCGGAGCAATGTCAATTTCAAACCTAAAGGTGCTGCATTGTAACTTGCTTATTGGATAAACCCAAGTCTAGGTAGTAACCTTTTATGATAATTTTTAACACCTTTCAATCCCATACAGTAACAGCTATAGAGCAAGATTGTGGGCGGCCCTAAAGCCAACAGATTAGCATAAGACTAGTTATAAAAAGCACGTGTCAGGTAACCAACAGGAAGGAGGGAACAGAACAGTCATTTCTGTTCCATGCCCGGACCCCAGACTCCCAGTGCGAGTGAGGATCGGATCCTGATCAAGGGACCTTCCCCAGTAATCCCTCTGACAGTGTTGATCAGGGACACCTGACTTCACTGAAATCACTTGGTGCGTACCTGGCATTGGTAAGTTGCCAACCCATGTCTGTCTATCTGTTGCTTTGAACACCCCAGTAGCTAATACCTTCGCAGTGCCCAGTTGGCCTGCGACAGAATTGATCTATCTGTTGTTATTATCTGTTATTTACTATTAGCTCTTTAATACTGCATTATCTGCTTATCGCATTTATCTTTCTGTTAACTGTTGTGTGTATGTAAGCTATAATAAATTTGCCTTTACTTCACTCCCAACTTTGCTTCCTTGATCTGAAACTGAATCAAACAGCCCAGTTGGCCTGTGATAAAATTGATACACTCACAGTGCCCAGCTGGCCTGTGATAGATATGCAATGCCATTCTACCAGCAAATTCTTATATACACATACATATATACACACACACAAAATATAATGAGAAACAGTCTTCTAAAAGTCTGTGAGGAATGAGTTGAGTTTAGACCCCACTGACAGATGAGGAAAAAACAAAAAGAACAAAAAACCCAGTACTTTACTAAGAAAGGCATTTGACCTGGCTCACCCAACATTTATATAGATCGCGCACTTCAGCGGTGGATTCCATCAGCTATTAGATAAAAGATCCAAAAAGCCCCACTGAAGTGCCCAATCTATATAGACATTGGGTGAGCCAGGTCAAATTGACCTGATGCATCTTCTGGGCACAAGCTGAGTTTAGCACAGGGGCACAGCAAATTGAAAGTAATTGCTGTTTTTTGTTTTGTTTTTGTGTTTTGTTGGGTTTGTTCTTTGTTTGTGGGGTGGGGGGTTGGGGGGGTGTTCACGTCTGTAAGCAGCTTTAAAGTGCAAAACCAGAATATGATCACCGTTTTATAAAACTTGTAAGTCAAAACAAATAAAATAATTTCATTCCTTACAACTGGACAGCACTCAGAGTCCAGTCAAACCAGGGCCCCATTGTCCTAGATCATGTTTAGATGCACAAAACTGCTCCCAGCCCACTCTTTCCACTGCTTAAATCAAAGGCCTCCACCCTTGAAGTGTATTCTTTTATGAAAATTGAAGGGGAGGGAAAGGAAATATAAACTGAAGTCCATATGAAAATAATTTTTGAGCTATTATCAGAAACAACCTCATCCTTTGACAAATGACCTTAACCTGTTGAAGAGAAGTTAATCTTACCATTATTTTGGCCAATACCCCATCATCATTTGACTCCATAGTAACCACTGCTTTGTCTGTTTCAATTTCACACAATGCATCTCCAGCATTCACAGCTTCTCCTGAAAAATAAAATATAAAAAACCCATGATATTTGCTTTCAAAACTATTTAACTCTTTGTAAAAATGAAAATAAACATACGGAAATATACTCCTAAACTTTTATTTGGTTAGCAGTTTTCCCAACATTGAAAAGGACTGTTAAAAAAATACCTTAAATATTAATAATCCTATACTTTGGGATTTCTGGATAAAAATCCTAATTTAAAACAAAGCATTAACATAATTAATTAAGGCTCAAGCATATATCTTGAGGCATATATGATCTGAGAGAAAGTGTGCAACTGAGTGACTTGTCCAAGGTCCTGGACAATTGGCAGCACAGCCAAGAACATAATCTGTAGTCCTTATTTCCTGCCTTTTGCATTAGTTGCTAGCTATTGACTAAAAAAGGTAATAAACAATTATAAAATAGGCAAGCATCATTGCTTGTTGACAAGCATAAAGTTGGATTGCTAGCAAAGAGTGAAAGAAGAAATACTTCTCTAGACACCAAACATGATCAGAGAGATGCAAAATAAAACCTTAACAAAAAATATTCAGAAAGAACATCTTGAAGTTTGTTTCCTCAGTCTCTTACAGGAGTGAGAACAAATCAGGCCTTTCAAAAATATGCATAATTTATTAAATGAAAATACGTATGTGTGTTTATGTAGATCTAGCCATCTGTGCATTCACCAAACTAGCCTAACTCAATCACTTTATAGTATGCTTTTTCCTCTCCTCTTGAACAGACACATACATGCCTGCTACTGCATGATAACAGCCCCATAAAGTTGGATTCTTTTGACAGATGAATACTGACTGGATGCCTAACATTAAACTAAATTATAGTGGTAACCTTGAAGCTCTTGAAAGGTTTGGTCTAAAGCAGAATATTATATTTTTTTACAGAAATAGAAGAGGAACAAAAGGACAATTATGTATATCAGATTTGTGCGTTCTGTATATTTAATATGCAACAACAGTATTATTTTTTTTTACACTTTTTATTTCCACTTCTATCCTTCAAAGTGCTTAAACATCAGAGAAATTACTATGCAGTTTACAATCTGTGCTTGTACGAGCAATACATATGTCTCTGTCAATATTATTTCTTGTGTTACAAGTACTCAGAGACCTGCTATATAGCTTTGCTGAGCTTTGCTCAAGAAAAGAGCTGCTACTCAAGCCACAGCCAAATATTTATTTCCAAAGACCAAAGTGCTTCCCTCATGGGAACCCTGAGGTGAGAAAGGATGGCCAATTTCTTGGTCCTTCCAAATATATGTGGAATATAACTTCTGACTATAATTTAAAATGCTGCACTGGAAGCAGGATAAGGAACTAACCCCTTCAACTCTAAATGAGTGATATAATTCTTTTAGCCGACTGATTTTCGTGGTTTGTTACAGTACCTGAGACAGCTGGGTAACTACTTACTAAATTTAAGAAATTCGTCTTAGCTGAGCCAATTGTGCCCAGTAGAGTTGAGGGGAAGCATGTGACAACACTGGCTTTCCCCCATCTTTGTATATCTCTTCCCCAATCTAGGGCCAGCCTGTGGCCATTTCAGACTTCAGTGCTACTTCAAAGTAGTTGCACATTTAAACTACACTCTACAGTGACAACAGCAGGAGCACACATTACTAAGATACAGTAACAATGCAGGCTCATCTGCTTCAATACACCTGCTATCCTGTAGCCATCGAAGCCATTGTTACATATGTGGTACTCCTGTGCACTTAGGGAATCGCTAAAGAAACTGTTTAAGCTGGCTCTTCTCACCTCTTTCCCTGTGATACTGGCACCAAGCAGGCATAAAGCTGCAGTGAATTTGATCCAATATACAGTTATAGAAGCAAAATAGTCTTTATAAACCCCTGCCACTGTTTCAGTAAGTCAGTTCAGTGAGTAGTACTGTGGTCTCTCTCAGTGGAGGCTGGCAACTTAATATTTCATAGCAGGTGACTAATATAATGCCAAATACAGCTTTCCAAACAAAGAACAGTGGAAACCAACAATTTGGTTGAAAATATCTTATTCCCAATACTTTCTAACAGAAAATCTGGTCCATGGCATCGTAAAATTGTTTATCTGGCATTTCTCTATGCAACAAATAATATTGTTATACTTAAAAAAAATCTTTTAAAAACCTTACTTTTAGTAACTACAGGTAGTTCACAGTGGGTACTCCTACATGTGCCGTTAATGTGACATGATAAACTCCGGCACGGTTTGCACCTTAATGGCATACGTAGATGCTCAAATTGCTGCAGTCCAGGGTGCACATGCAGATGCTCTCTGAGCTGGGACAGAGCTGGTAGGGGAACTGGGGGTCATCCATAGGCTCCAGGAGGTGGCTTTGCGTGGTGAAGGTGCTGGTTGGGACACAAGAGTATTGTACCTCAGTGTTTAGGAGCCATAGGATTGGGCAGCAGGCAGGTGTCTGGCCCCCCTCTGCCTGGGTCAGCATTTACATGTGTATTTAGGTGCAGTTATTTCCACTGCAGTAACATAGAACTGTCCTGGACAGTACTATGTTGGCTTTGCAAGGACCTCTTCTGTAAATTAAATCACAAAAACGAAGCTTGTAAGAAGCAGAAACTTGGACAAACAACTAGGGAGGAGTATACAAGTATTACTCAGGCATGCAGGGATGAAGTCAGGAAGGCCAAAGCGTAACTGGAGTTGAAGCTAGCAAGGGAAGTGAAGGGTAGCAAGAAGGGTTTCTACAAGTATGTCAGTAAGAAGAGGAAGATCAGAGAAAGTATGGGTCCCTTACTGAATGGAGGAACCTAGTGACAGAGGATGCAGAAAAGGCTGAAGTATTTAATGCCTTTTTCACCTCAGTCTTCACAGGCAAGGTCAGCACCCAGACTACTGCAACTGGAAGCACAGTTTGGGGATGAGGCAAGCAGCCAACAGTGGTGAAAAAACAGGTAGGGACTACGTAGAAAAGCTGGATATATTCAAGTCCATGGGGCCAGGTAGGATGCACCCGAGGGTGCTAAGGGAATTGGCTGATGTGACTGCAGAGCCACTGGCCATCATTTCTGAAAACTCATGGGGATCGAGAAAGGTCCCAGATGATTGAAAAAGGGCAAACAGTACCCATATTTAAGAATGGGGAAAAGGAGGATCCAGGGAACTAAAGACCAGTCACCCTCACCTCAGTCCCTGGAAAAATCATGGAGAAGATCTTCAAGGAATCCATTTCTAAGCACTTGAAGGAGAAGGTGATTAGAAACAATCAGCATAGATTCACCAAGGGCAAGTCATGCCTGACCAAACACACTTTCTTCTATGAGATGACGGGCTCTGTGGATGCAGGGAGACAGGTGATGTGGTATACCTTGGATTTTAGCAAGGCTTTTGATACGGTGTCCCACAACATTCTCGCAGGCAAGCTAAGGAAGTAGGAGCTGCATGAAGGGATCCTGGGGCTGGTTTTATTCAATATCTTCATCAGTAACCTGGAAGATAGCATAGAGTGCACCCTCAGCAAGTCTGCAGATGACATTAAGCTGGGGGGAGATTAGCAGATGCATGACAAACGGGTCCAGGGAGGTGATGCTTCCCCTCTACGTGGCACTGGTCAGGCCACAGTTGGAGTACTGCATCCAGTTTTGGGTGCCGCACTTCAATAGGGATGTGGAGAATCTTGAGAGGGTTCAGAGGAGGGCTACTTGTATGGTCAGTGGCCTGCAGACAAGGCCCTATAAGGAGAGACTGAGGGACCTAGATTTCTTCAGGCTTTACAAGAGAATGCTGAGAGGTGATCTTATGGCTGCCTATAAATTCATCAGCGGAGGGCAGCAGAGAATAGGAGATGCTCTATTCACTAGGGCCACAAATTGACGGACAGCAGATTTAGGTTGGACATTAGGAAGAACTTCACAGTAAGGGTTGCCAGAATCTGGAATGGGCTTCCAAGGGGGGTGATGCTCTCCCCTACCTTGGGGGTCTTCAAGAGAAGACTGGACAAGCACCTAGCTGGGATCGTCTGACCAAAGTGCAGTGTTCTTTCCTGCCCAGGGCAGGGGGTCAGACTAGATGACCTACTGAGGTCCCTTCCGACCCTAACATCTATGAATCTACAGGGGGAGCATTAGATATGCTGGAAGGTAGGCTAGGATTCAGAGACTTCAACAAATTGGAGGACTGGACCAAAAGAAATCTCATGAGGTTGGAGGACAAGTGCAAAGTCCTGTACTTAGGACAAAACAATCCCATGCCACAGTACAGGCCGGGCTGACTGGGTAGGTACTAGCTCTGCAGAAAAGGACCTGGAGGTTACAGTGGACAATAAGTTGAATGTGAGCCACCAATGTGCCCTTGTTGCCAAGAAAGCTAACAGCATAATGGGCTGCATTGGTAGGAATGCTGTCAGCAGATCAAGGGAAGTGATTATTTCTCTCTAATTCAGTGCTGGTAAGGCCACATCTGGAGTACCGTGTTCAGTTTTAGTTTCCCCACTACAAAAAGGAGGTTGACAAATTGAAGAGAGTCTAGTGGAGGGCAACAGAAATGGTGAGACAGCTGGGGCACGTGACTTCTGAGGAAAGGCTGACGGAACTGGGCTTATTTAGTCTGGAGAAGAGAAGACTGAGAGGGGATTTAACAGCAGCCTTCAACTGTCTGAAGAGTGGTTTGAAAGAGGATGGAGCTAGACTGTTCTCAGTGGTGGCAGATGACAGAACAAGGAGCAATGGTCCCAAGTTACAGCAAGGAAAGTTTAGGCTAGATATTAGGAAGAACTCTCTCACTAGGAGGGCAGTCAAACAATAGAACAGGTTACCCAGAGAGGTTGTGGATTCTTCATCCTTGGAGGTTTTAAGACCCGGCTAGACAAAGCCTTGGCTGGGATCATCTAGTTGGGAATGGTCCTGCTTTGAGCAGGGGGGGGTGAACTAGATGACCTCCTAAAGTCCCTTCTAACCCTAATTTTCTATTATTCTATGTTACCACAGCCAAATTTAGTTTGTTGCCACATAATAGCATTGCAGATGTAGACTGTGATGCTTCACACTCTTGCAAATTAATCTTGAAATTCAGCAAATTAATAAACTAGTGCACAGTTAAGTGCACATGTAGATGCACCCAATGTTTGTTAGTTTGAAGATACGGTAGAGGTGCCACAGCTCACTTCACCAGATACTAGCATATGACATCCAACAGCATCCTGTTATGTAGCATCTGATGAAGTGAGCTGTGGTTCATGAAAGCTTACGCATCTCTGATCCTAATTAGAATGAGCAATTAGAATCTCTATTACAGTTGAGTTATTCCTCTGAACCTAAGTTAGGTCATCATATCTGACTGTGGTTCAGTAATTGCTATATAATGAAATGGTGGTCTCAGTCCTGTTACTGAGTGGACTGCCCCTCCATTGATGCCATCTCTGTAGATTAAAAACCTGACTAACTATGGAGACTAAACTCTCTTCTGCTTCTCTAAAGATGAGCCGAGTTATTCATGGGGAATCATCAAGCACTGATCCCTATTCTACTCTGCCCAAAATAATCAAAGGATTTTAGTCTCTAGAGCTGTCAGTCTGTCATTTTTCAGCTGCACTAAATTCATACATAATAAATACAAGTTTAAAAATAAAAGTGGTGGTATTTTTATGCAACTGACTTCATTACCCAAAGGAACCAAAATGAAGCAGCATTAACAATGAGAAAGAAACAGTAAAACCATCTATTAACAAGATGCTTTTTTTTCTTCTGCTGTAGTCAAATCTTCTGTCTCTCCTGTGTAATTTTAAAAACAAAGATCAGTTATTTACAGTTAAAAAGCAGAAACAGTATTCAGAAAAATGTTCTAATGACCCCTGCTGGTGGCATGGGGAAAATGAATAGGCAACACAATAGGTTTGCCTTTCTAGGCTTTTGTCTTTTCATTTACTTCAAAACACTGTGGTAAGAGCAGTTCGTTTGATCAAATAAAAGATCAGTAATAATGTGCCATTAGCCATATCTCTCTTAGTCATTGGCAAATGATGTTTTTATGATTATCCCTTACTGGTGGTAAAGACAGAAGTAACATCACGCTCATCTTTCTCCTCTCAAAAATCTACCTATCATTTTACAGAGATATCTTCCACACTGCCAGATAAATAACACTTATGAGCACTAAATATGGCAAAAGATGCACCAAATGAGCTAACGATACCACTCAGAATTTTTTTTAAAAACCCAGCAACACTGTAAACAAAATGGTGACATTGTTTCTCTCTCAGATGGACCCACAATTAAAAACTGCTTTCAGAGATTTGTCAAAGGAAGCACAACAAGGAATGAAACAGATTTCTGAAACAGAGATAGAGGAACTGACAAAGACCTCAACAAAGAGACATAACTGAAGAAGCAGAAGATTTATTTAACTTAAAACTATAATTAAAAAACAATGTTTAGAAAAATAAGTAAACTACTACAGAGTATGGGAAGGTAGGATTACAAAACACCTGAGGTTGCTTTCATTGTCTCTGCCTGACCTGGGGCAAATCTTTCAACTTTGTGGAGCCTCACTTCATGTTATCAATGAAATGGGTATAATTATATTTACTTAATTCCCAAAGGTATTACTATGAGCCTTTATGTTATAAAAATATTGTATGACCCTAAGAGAAAAGATGTCAAAAAGACAAAGAATGTTATTTGTCAAAAAAACAAGCAAAAAAAAAATCAATCTAAAATATAAATACTTATTTCTTGAGAACAAACAACTTATTCCAACAGGAACAGTGTCCATATTCAAGGAACACACAAATGCTAAGCACTGTAGTACTACAATGTTAAGGACTCTAAGTACTTGCGCAACAAAAATATACTTAATTTTCAACAGTTCTATAAGGTACCACAGAAGTTATGCATCCATCTACTTTTAATAAGAGGTTACTCTAGGCACAAATATTCAAACATTCAAGGCAATTGATAGAATCTTTGTCATAGGTAAGAGCCTCCATGAAATTTCAGTCTGGATCCACATGCACACTATGCCTTTGTAAAGTGGTAGCCCCCATCTTTTTTGCAAAAGAGACTCTAATCCTAGTGCAAGGTCAAATTTCCATAGCAGTCTTAATCCTACTTGAGAGGGACGTCACAACATCTAGTTTGAAAACTGTTGTCCTAAAGCAAAATTAATAAAAATCTTTAGAAGGCAAAATGTAAGATGACTTATTGCCACCTTTATGACTCCTACCAATGGTTCATAACAAATTCAAGACTACCTGTACTCCATCAATAAATTCAGAGTCCAACTTTAGCCTTAATTTTCAATAGCTCTAGAGAAGAGAGCACTAAAAAAAATTTAACATTTCTTGATGACAGAGTACAGGCCAATAGTTCTTCCAACTCAACCTATGCAGCTAGATCACTTTCATTTATAGCTGATCTATGCGAAGACAGAAAAGCTGCAGAGGCCATTTGTCTAGCAACTCCAACTCATTCTAATAAAAGTCAATTACTTTTCAGGTGTCACAGAGTTCAGAGACCAGGAGATAAATGAAGACCCAAAATACCTTTTCTTGCAAGGTTAATTAAAGCTCATGATTTTCAGAAATGAACCTTTTTTCTGATTTAGAAATAGGACTATAAGACAATGTAAGTTGCCCCATCAGCTTTAAAAATAGACTATCATTTAATTATTAAGGATGTCAGCCTGGAATAGCTATGACAAGAGTCTTTTTAATTTACTAGAAAAGAAACTTAAGGAGTTCATACCAAAATAGAAGGTAACATTTTGTCCCCAGTCACAAGGACCCTATTCCCGAAAAGGCAGAGAATCCACTAGTACAGCATGTTAGAGAAGCTATAGGTCAACAACACTTCTGAAAACCATGCCTAATGCATCAGAAAAAGTGCTACTCAAACTGCAGCCCCAATCAAGTGGCCATGGAAACCACCTTGTTTGAAAGCCAGAAGGAACATTTTAGAGCATGGTTTTTCAACCTTTTTGGGTCAGTGTACCCCTAGTGGCTGGACGTGGAGCAGTGTGCACCCACTGGCCAGACATGGAGTGGGGTGGAGCGTACGCACCCCCGGATGACAACCCCTTTTTTAGAGAACCAGAATGATGCAGATAGGATATAGTGCAACAAGGTAGTACCCCCAAAACAACTCTGCCCTTACAAAATGGTTCACAGAATGACTTGGAAAACTAGTGCAGCATTTTACAGCAATTGTGATTTTATATCATTTTCTCTCACCTTCCTTTTTCAGCCATTTTACAATGTTTCCTTCTTCCATTGTAGGAGACAGTGCAGGCATGAAAATTTTAACAGCAGAAGTACCTGAAAAACAAAACATGGATGAAATAAAACAGCCATTTTTCACACCAACGCTGTTGGTGTGATAAATGCTGTTTATATCCAATAATCTAGGCCAGGGGTTTTCAACCTTGTTTAATAAGTGTACCCCCGGCAGCTAGACGCGGACCGGGGGCAAGGGAGGCATGGTACACAGCTGGATGCAAAGCGGTGACAGTGCAGGGTGGTGGTGTGCAAGCTTTCCCCCAGCCCCCCCATGTCCGGCCAGACAGGCAGCGCCTGTGCGGCCCACAGAAGGACGCCACTGCACCCCTCCCCTCCTGGCCCTGCTTCTGAGAGGTGGCAGTGCGGGGTCATGAGTGGAGGCACTCCATCCCCGCCTGCCCACACATATCCCTTAGGGCCTTCCCAAGACAACTCCTAATGTAAGCCAAGTACATTCTCAACCTAGCAACAAATCAGGTGGATACATTGTGCAAATCTCAAAGACAGCTGAACAGACAATTTAGTAAGTGGATACCTTTTATACATTACTCATATACACCTACACACAGATGTAAACATGCATTGTAGGTAAAAATCTAAAGAACAAAGGATTTAATTAAGAGAGTCCATTCTACTAATTTTGTAATGAAGACTAGGGAACCTATACAGATCATTACATTTGTTTAAAAAATACGCAGAATATCAGGCAAACTGAACTCAGTGTCTGTTAAGGAAAAATATGTAATAAACTCATGGCAGCAGCACTGAAAATCTTCAGATATTCATACTGCCTCAGCTTTGGTTCAATTAGTTTTAAATGTGACCTTCAACTAGAATCTGGTCTAGCTATATTAAAAAATAAACACAACACTGACATCATTTTAAGCTCCCTTCAACCCAGTTTGAAGTATAATATAGCACTTTTCAGATGAAACACGAGCCAAATGAAATTTCTCATAGGCTTTTCCCAGTCTAGCTCTGAAGAGGGAAAAAAAAAAACAACAACAACAAAATCAACAATTTGTTTGGGAATCAAGCTATCAGGAGAGCTACAGTGCAAGGGAAGGGAGAAATACTACCACAACTAATAAATAAGCATTAGACAAGAATGGCAGATTTTATAACATCATATCCAATTATTTCATAGCGAGATCAGGAATTTAAAAAATAAACAAACTAACAAACTCCTAGGGGCCCTAAAAGTCTAATTCAAAATCTGATGCCATAATCAACAGATCATCTTGTGTGAACTTGTATGCCATTAAGTTACACCCAAAACCAAGTTACAATCTTACACCAAATAAAGGTAAACTAAAGCTTTTCAGTTGTTGGGACTGAACAGAAGAGTCCAAGACTGTGTCAAATGGCATAATAATATGAGATAGGGAAGACATGCCCAGATGATCTCTCCAGTGAACCAGGTGTAGAAAAAAAGATCAACACTCTGAGATCCCTGCCAATGTGAGCTGTGAAGAAAGTTTCTTCCTAGTTCCCCATCTACCGATCACCACAATGCTGAGTATGAGTAAGACCCACCAGGCAGATATCTAGGACACCCTGTACCATCTGAGTGCACTGGCCCTATCTCACAGACTGTCTCCATGCAAGGTCAAATACACAGGATATACCTGCCCAATTGTGCATGGGGATGGGAATGAATTCCTACCTGGCCACTCCAAGTGACTAGGGGAAACCCTGATGCATGAGATTTGATTATGGTCATTGCCTTAATGCAGAGCTGGAAATACTGTATTGTATGTGGAAGACAACTGAGGCAATTTTTTGTCCTCCCAAAACTCATGAAGAAAGGAGATAAAGGGGCTCAGGCTCTCAAATTCCAAAGCCAAAAAAAGACCACAACCATCAAGACTGATCCTTCCATGTATACTATACATAGAAGCTGCAGAACTTTTCCCCAGAGATGTATTAAAGGAGGGGTAGGCGATTTTTTGACGTTTTGGTGAGCTGTTGCAGGCTGGGTGGTGGAGGGAGAGGAGGTGATATGGCACAGTGCAGTGGGGGGTTGGGGAAAGACACACAATTAGTCCCACCCAGCCCTGGCCCATCTACTCCACACCCACTTCCAGGGTGTGGACAAAGCAGACAGGTGGAGTCTCCATGGACACTGGCTTGGGATCCCTGCAGACAGGACAGGGCATGCTCAGCAGGACAGATGGCTCAGCCAGACAGAGCCATGATCCACTCCCATCATGCAATGGGTGCCGATTCCACAAGCAAGGCACACCCAGGAAGTAAACTGCTGCTCTACCCCAGGCCCTGGCCCCAGCCCCAGCCTCATCAGCCCCAGGATGCTACTCCCTGCCCACCTGTGGCCCCATTCCATCCACCCGGCCAAGTCCACCCTGCCTGCAGGAGTCCTGGGCTAGTCTCCCCAGAGACCCCACCCAATTGCCCACTCCATCCATCACTTCTAACAATGGTTGCATGGCAGATGGGCCGGGTCCACCAGTGGCGACACTGGCAGCAGCAGCTAAAAGGAGCCACCGCCAGAGGTGCTGCTGGGAAGCCAAGTCTGGCCACCGCACTGCCCCTGTCCTGCCATGCACCCAGGGGTAGCTGGACTGGCCACATGTACCCTGGCCCAAGCTGCACCCTGTGCCTGGCCCAGGTGGGGCCAAGGGACCTGCCACTGGCCAGATAAAGTTACTTGGCAGGCTGAATCTAGCCTGCAGGCCATATTTTGCCCATCCCTGGATTAAAACATTTATTTTAAAAATATATCTAGTATTGTTTTAAAGACTAAAAGGAGGCAAACACACCAACTCCCTTGATAAGCTGCTCCAATGTTTAATTCCTCCTTCTGCTAGGAAACTGAACAGATTAGTCAGAGCTATCCATGCTGAAAATGCTATCTTCACTTTAAAACGGGTGGATAGATATCTGGCTGGGGTGTTATGATCCCAGCACTCATTCCTGCCCAGGGCAGGGGGTCGGATTTGATGATCTGTCCAGGTCCCTTCCGATCTTAGAAACTATGAAACATTATTTTCCTATGGGTTAACATGGTTAAGATCCCCAAAAAAGGAAAGAGAAGGGAACAGAACTAAAGAATGTATGAGGAAATGATCCAAGGGAGTATAAAATATATTAAATCTACCCTCCTTCTGAATTTTTTTAGCATTTATAACTTTTATAAATCTAAAATTGTCCATTTTAGTGTCAGAAGGTCACAGAAGAGGAAATTACTACTCTGGAAAAAAATAAATAGGCGTTCTGCCATGAATATTTAATATCTTAGGTATAGTTTTTCAACCTCTCCGTATAGTGTGGGTTTTTTTGCTGCAATATTTCCAATTTATATTAAAGATTTAGCAAGCCTGGAGGCTGCAATAATCTTGTCATTTTAACATGCAGAGCATAGAAAAGAGGGTTCATTTATTCCCCAGGGTCTTTACAGATCTGCACCTTAGGGGTCATACTCCCTTCCCCATAAAAACTGGAGAAGCAAGTGGAATTTATACATGGATCATTTCCCAAAAGGTTTATAGCACAGAAATGTAGATCCATTTGCTCTGTCCTTCTACTGCCAAGTTAATTTTCTCTTGCTCCAAACCAGTTACAAAAACTGACCTCTCCTTGCTGGAACACTTAGATAACTGTAATTTTATTGTTCATTATTTTCACAACTGAAAACTGTGTTCACAGAATATTACTGATCAAGTTGTTATGTGTGTTGGTTTTAGCAGCATAGACCAGGAAAAAGAATCTTTGCTTCTTCTGATCAAGATCCCTAATGCATGGGGAAAAAAAATATCCTAGAAATATCTATAGTAATTTGCAAAGGATTTGTGAAAAGAAGTTTTCAGAACATGGATTCATGACTTCCCTTGTGCAAGTCTTTTTTTTTTTGTGGTATGCTATGCCTGAGACACCTATAATTAGAGATACACTTGAAATATGTTACGATATGTAGAACTGGCTCCAGTTCTAACAGCTGGTTCTGAAACAGCAGTCAAACAATTAAGTCAAATTCAGAATAGTACAGCATTGTAATGAAATTAATGCAACTGAAAGTCTGTCATGTCATTAATCTTAACTGGTGAACGAAAGAAGAAAGTTCATTTTGAAAAGGGAGAGACGGTGCTACATTAGAATGTGCCTGGGCAGAAGAGCTCAAGGTATTCAGGGTGGGAATTCTTTCCTCACTATCAAATGAAGATGACCTGAGTCATAAGGGTTCACATAGTTAAGATCCCAGAGAAAAGAAAGGTTGGGATTAAAATGTGAATATACAGTTCAAAAGTTCTCTGAAAAGCAGAGATCTGTAGCTTTCCAATGAAAGATAGCAGTCACTTCTACATATGGTGACTCTCAGATACCAGATGTTAGAATTCTCTTCTCCAGTGGATCAAAAATGCCAGCACACACAGGTACACTTCCAAGATTTAACAGTAAATCCTAGATACACTTCTCCCTTGCAGAATATTAGCAACTCCCATTGATCTGACATACTCTGCCAGTCGCTAGGCCAGTGCTTCCTGAACTTTTCCTTAGCATGACCCAATTTCCTCAGCATGACCCCTCACTCCCAACCCACAGCTCCCCACCCCCATGACTCCACCTGCTGATGTTGCGATCCCATTTGGGCTCGTGACCCATAGTTTGAGGACTGCTGCACTAGGCTGAAAAAGGAAAGGATCCAGGCAGTACAGCACAAATCAAGGAAGATGAAATGCAGTGGGTGGTGAACAGAAGTAAAGGGAGGATTCCCAAAGCTCATTTGGGAATGAGCTGGTTCCTAGATTCCAAAATGTTAAGGATAAATGATTACATAAATATAAGCAAACCATCTAGCTATGTAAATAGACACACTCTTCATTTCCAGTACCTTAATATTAACATCATGAAAATCAGTTAAAGGGATGCTGCCAGCTTAAATCACATTTGTTTGATATGATGCACCAAGTGCATGCAAATATATATGTTAGTGGGATGGACGCAGCGGTCCCCAGATGAAGTGTTATGCCCACATTACACAAGAGATTTTGTATGATTCTATGAGATTATCAATTATAATCATTATGAGCATCTAAAGCATAGTGAAAGCACCTGT